GTGGGGGTGCCCTGCCCTGGCCTGACACCTCTGCGGAGGCCTCAGACCTGGGCAAGGGACCGATCCGGTGATCAGCGATCGGATGGTGATGAGGGTCAACTCCTCTGGCAGAGGCATCAGGCCTGGGTGGGGGGCGGAGCCAGGGTTTGGGAGGATATGATGGTCCCCTTGCCCAGGGCTGAAGGCGCCAGGCTTGGGCGGATGGGTGGAGCAAGTGATCAGAGGGAGATGGGGTTCCCCTGCCAAGGCATGATTCCTGGGCCAGAGGCCTCAGGCAGGGGCTGGGGGAAGAACCAGTGATGGGGGGAAATGAGGGTCCCCTGCCCAGGCCTGCGATTGGAGGGTGATGGGGGTCAACGCCTGAGGGCTCCCAGTATGTGAGAGGGGGCAGGCTGGGCTGAGGGACCCTCCCCCCCACCCCCACACACCCAGTGCACGAATTTTGTGCACCGGGCCCCTAGTTTAAACGATAAAATCCAAAGACAAACCCTTCCTTAATTCTCCTCTGCAGTTAGAACCACTATTAACTGTATAACCTATTTCCTTATAGTCCCTTTTCCACGCATGTGCATGTTATGTATTTAAACAGAAATACATGTGGCTCAGTGAACACACAGTTTGGCAGCCTGAGATTACCTGATGCCTCCTCCATGGCTGGGCAGTGCTTCAACTTCAAAAGTGCCCACACTGAGTAGCGAAGCTCAAGTTATAGTTTGTCTTATGGTCACTTAGGCTACATTTTTTAGGTACTGGGAATGACCAGGTTTTCATTTTATTGATAATCTTATTTAAAAGTCAACCAAATTACTTTCATAAGCTTCTAAATAAAACCAGGAATTAAGTGTTAAGACTTATAAAAGATAAGGATTAAAGGAGGAGAGGGTATCTCACTTTCTTAAAAAAGATCTTTTGAGTCATTAGATGTGTTAAAGAAATAAATAGTACAGAACTCTAAAAAGATTTCCCTTGAGATGTGATTGGGAACATCAAAGTGTGACTGGTGTGCATACCTGGAGAGCCTTTGAACTGTGGGCATTCCTTTTTAATGTGCCCCTCTCGTCCACAAATAAAACAACGTTTTTCTCTCAAGTCTTTGTCATCCTGTCTCTTCCACTTTTCCGCCGACGGCCTGAGCACCTTCTCTCTCCCCAGATCGACAGCTGCCTTCACCGGCTTGGCTTTCTGAGGCGTGTACTGCACGGGCGTCTCCTCTTTTGCGGACACCTCCCTCTCAGCACACTTGTTTTGAACTTCTTTGTCATCTTTGCTTCTTTTGTCCTTGTTCTCAGGGTATCTTTGGTTTGGGGTATCTTCCTGATCTCGCCGTCGCCTCACTCTGTAGAAAATGATATAATACTGGTAGGAAAAAAATCCAAACAGAATTCTAACAAAATAAGACAATTCCAGGTTTAGGAAATAATGAGAAACAGAAGGCATTAAAGGGCAACCCCAGAATTTAGCAAACTTAAATCTATTTTTTTCTACTAAGAAGCAACCTCAGGGCTTAAGGGTGTTTTTCCTTTTTATTTTCACAATTACTCCAGGGCTCTAAAACCAATTAGTGGGACTCCTTGATATTGATGTAATGAAACTTGTCCTTGGGGTGATTTTTTTAGAATCTTTCTGGCCTGCTTAGCATTCTTTACTAGACACTGGAAATTTGAGATGTGAAACTTTAAATACATTCATTCACATGCCCAGAAAAGGGACCAGAAGGAAATAGGTTCACAAGCAAGTGATGGTTATAAGGAGATTTAGGGTCTTAAAATATTAAAATCATTTTTTCCTTGCCCATGACCAGTGACTATATTACTTGAGTAAAAAACAAATATGTACTAAATAAGAACCTTAAATTTCAGATGATGATCTGTTTTATTTTTTTTGTTGTTGTTTGTTTTTGATTAATCCTTACCCAAATATATTTTTCCCATTGATTTTTAGAGAGTGGAAAGTGGGAGGAGAGAGAAACATCAATGTGAGAGACTCATTATTGGTTGCCGCCCATACAAGTCCCGACAAGGGCCAAGGATCCAACCTGCTAGCCAGGTACGTGACTTTGATCGGGTATCAAATCCATGACCCTTTGATCCCAGGGCCGATGCTCTAAGCACTGAGTAACACCAGCCAGGGAGATGATAACCTGTTTTTAAATGAGCATATTATCATCCAAGTAAAAGCACCACTACCAACCCAAACAATATGTTCAAAGTGAGCATCCAAAACCATGTCCCTCTGTCCTCCTGCAAACAGCAGAAAGCATGGTCACCAAGCTGAGTAGGTCACCATAGCAATATTAAGGCGTACAAGTAAAACTGTGTACAAGTGAAAGGGTCTTATAGTCCGAGACATTGTCAGTGAATCCCAATCCCAACATGGCACGCCTCTTATTGTACATTAGAAGTGTAATTGACATCCTGAAGGAACCAATTTTACTTTTCATTGACTGAAATGATTCTGAACTTCTCACTGCTGTAAAAGGGAAGAATTTTAGTTTCCTCTTTTCTCTTCCATCCCAACTGGAGAGGGCGATAACCAGATGATTGAGTAATGATTAGGGCCATGACCAATATTAGGAAAAGGGACCAGGCCTGAGAGACTGTCGCCGTTACACTGGAGTCAATTCTCATTATCTGTATGTAAGGCCATATTTTAAATCACCTCATTTTCATTACAAAAAACCTTAAATTTACCTGAGAACTGCTGAATTTCCTAAAAGTTTATTTTTTGTTACAATAGAACCTCATTTAAAAACTGGTACATTAAGAGCATAAAATCAAAACCACCACTTTTGAACATTTACTTACTTTCTCCTCAAAGGACAGTCCTTCATGAAGTGTCCAATTTTCCCACAAATTCGGCAACATCTATCATTTGGGGCCAACTGTCCTTCAGTTAGCACATCTGGATCAAAAAAGTACTCCTAGAAAAACATAAATATATACAAATATGAAGTATTACTCTGAGATCAAAACACAAAGCTAACCCGACAGCAATCAGGTATCTTATATCTCAACATCAATGTTATCATTAACTTAATACCTATTATTTATACTGGTTAATTTCAAATCTAAAACCATTATGAGGTCTAAATCAGGACTTTACCTAAACTCCCATTTTACGTAGTCCTTTTCATTACACGGCACTCTGCTTATCCTTAACCACAAAGGTAGCTTTTCCCCAGCACTTCTAAGTATAAGAGCATCACATAGCCCAGAAGTCAGCTGCCCCAGGACTTGGAGGGAGCTGAGTCCAGGCACAAAAGTTTCCTTGCTCTAAAAAAAGAGAAAAGCTAACACCTAATGAATTGAGGAACATGATGTGCATATACAGATTACAGAGAAAAATATAGAGGCGATGTGCTGTTGCTTTATTTCATTGTGGTTTCTGAAGGGAAATATCAGAAGAAAGGAAAGATAATGGTCTGGACTCTAGCCCCTTTACCACTGAAATGAAGGTTGGGGACCAGGAGCACTAGCATCACCTGGGAGCTTGTAAGAAATGCAAAGTCCTCCTGAGTCAGAATCTGCATTTAACAAAATCCCCAGGTGATATGTTTGGACAAGTTTCAGAAGCACTGACAGACTACCACAGCAATATCTACAACTAGATGTTCACATATAATCAAATGCTGAATATTGCTACACACAAAACAGTTAAGGTTCATTAAAAGCGTATTCAGAAGATTAATGCAGAAAAATAATAACTTTATTTTAAACATAAAACCATCTAGCTCTGCTCTAGCTGGTGTGGCTCAGTTGGTTGGAGCATCGTCCCATGCACTGAAGGGTTGACAGTTCAATTCCTGGTCAGGGCACATACCTGGGTTTCAGGTTCGATACTCAGACAGGAGGCAACCAATAGATGTTTTTCTCATACATCAATGTTTCTCCCTCTCTCCCCCTTGTCCCCCTCTTTCAAAACAATAAAATATATCCTTGGGTGAGGATGATAATAATAATAATAATAATGATAATTTTAAAAACCTCTAGTTTCTAACCCCCTTTTTTCTCACTGAAATACGTTATGTTTATAATGCAATTTTGTTTTTAATGAGTGCGGCTCAATAGAAACCTGAGCATTAGTTTATATGAGAACAGACAGTTCTAGTACAGGCAGCACCGTCCCATTAAGGGATTTATTACTCTTTGCAAGTATAGTAATAAACAAACAAAGGAAAGTCTAGACTTCATATGGATGCCCTTAGGCATGTGCAAATGGCTTGGCTGAGGCTGGCATGGAGCTCAATGCTGGTGCTGCAGCAATGCCACCTATATGTCTTACCAAGGAAAAGCAGCAGCACCAAAATTATAAATCTTCCCACCCAAACTCCACCGCTGGCTATTTTTCCCCATTCTCCTGATGAATTGTCTCAGAGCAGGGATTTTTTTAAAAAATGTATTTATTGTTTAAAGTTTTACATATGTCTCCTTTTTCTCCAATTGATCCCCCTTTCCCTGCCCCACCATTCCCACCTCAGGCAAGACCCCAAGAGCAGGGATGTTTTAGAAAGGGTTTTTAGGGATTTGTGTTGTAATTGTTCATCTTGGTGGCTAGACTCACCAGATATTCAGAGTATTTAAGTTATTACTGAAGTAATATGTACAAATTAAATGCTTAATATGGGCTTTCAGAATTGTTTTGTTTTGTTTTTTTTATGTCCAACAGATGCTTACCATTTTTGAGGTGTAGTCCTTTGGAAATCCTTTGACTGGAATACCAAATACTCTTCTACCATTAATAAATGCTTTCATTATAAAATTGGTCACTAAAAAGAAAAGAATAAGAGCTCAAGTAGGTGAATTAAAAAGAGATCACATGAATATTTATAAACAAAGTTAACTTACTTTTCCTTGATAATCCAGCTCCAAGATTATGGTTCAAATCAAAGGGATCTAAGTAAAAAAATGAGAATAAGATAATCAAATGGAAAATGCCACTATTCATACAATAAATGGTTTATATAACAAGTGTTACATAATTTATCATTATTAAAAGTATTAAATAACTACCTTCTTAATGATCTTCAAATTTGTTATATAGTTAAGTAATATATATTCCCAACTACAAGGCAAGTTTTATTCTCAAAAGTGTCCATCAGAAAAGAGGGTGTTGCTTTATATTTGAATTCTTATAAAACCTTTCGCATTATGAGGAGTTGCTTTATTTTGAACAATAAAATACTATTAGGAGAAAACTAACAGTAGCTTGACATTATTTAATGCTAGTTTTTGAATGTATATAGAGGTCACAAATATATTTAAAACATTTTAACAATAAATGTTCCCACCAATTAATAAGCTTTTTAAAGACCACTTTAGAAAATAATTCATCATGGATATCACAGAATGCACTCAAGTGATAAATTAAAACACACATAGGCAATAGCTACTTGGATCTCAATTTCTAGTAAAGGCTTCATATAAGAATTTCCATATGATCTTAAATATTTTCACTCAAACATCTTAGATGAGTGGATATCTGTTGTGTTCTGGAACACTATTGGTTGGATGATCCAGAAAGTGGTAGGAAATGAAAGACCTGCTGATGTCAAAGATGTATGTGGGATCTGAATAAACTGGTTCGTAAAATAAATGGGGATAAAGCATGCTTTCTAAAAATTTTTTTTATTTTTTAAGTATATATTTTATTGATATTTCACAGAGAGGAAGGGAGAAGGATAGAGAGTTAGAAACATCAATGAGAGAGAAACATCGATCAGCTGCCTCCTGCACACTGCCCACTAGGGATGTGCCCGTAACCAAGGTACATGCCCTTGACCAGAATCTAACCTGGGACCTTTTCAGTCCGCAGGCCGACGCTCTATTCACTGAGCCAAACTGGTTAGGGCAAAGCATGCTTTCTAAATCAAAATACTTTATAAATGATTTAAAATAAATTTTCACTCATGATAATTCATAAGTGAAACATAATGTGTAGATACTTAATTTAATTATTTCCTGTAAATGCTTAAAAACATATTCAAGAAAGCAAAAAACACAACACAACAAAACAAAAACCACTCCAAAATCTTTTGGAGGGGGATCAATCATTGTGATTTGAATTCCATTTTATATATTTTCACATTTTAAGACTATCAATAGGTAGATAAAAGTTTAACCTAGAGCAGCGATTTTCAACCCATTTGTTGCCACATGAATTTTAAAACATGCGATACCTGACGTAGTCAGGGGGACTGACCTCTTTTCCCTTAAACTGTCAAATAAAAATATGACAACAGCCAGCACAATAGCCCTTCGATGTGAATGAGTCAAAATTATACCAATTTTTTTTTTTTGCCAAATTGACACAAAAATATATTTTTTGGTGTGCTGCAGAATTTTAGTAATTAGTTTATGTGTGCCATGAGATGAAAAAGGTTGAAAGTCGCTGACCTAGAGTAACACATTATTTAGGTGATATGACTTCTGATAGGCAAAAACCCTCCATTAATAGCAAATAAAGATGTTGAAAATTCCTCTTATTAGGAAGGTTTTAAAAGTCATTTATTTTGAAGCTGGCTTATGTCTACTAAGTGTTCAATGATAATAAAAGATCTGTCATGGTGACCAAAGACATAATGTGAGAGGATCCACATAAAGGCATCAATCATTTAAAAGTAAGTGTTTAGCTACAGCAGGAAGGCCAGGGAGAGTGGGGGGGCTGGAGGGGGGATGGTAAGAGATCAATCGAAGGACTTGTATGCACGCATATAAGCATAACCAATGGACATAAGACACTGGGGGATAGGGGAGGCCAGGGGATTGTCAAGGGCGGGGGAAAAAAAAAGGAGACATATGTAATACTCTTTGTAATACTTTAAGCAATAAAAAAAAAAAGTAAGTGTTTAGGTGGGAAACAGATGCCTCCACCTGACGCAGGCAGTAATAGGATGGTGCACTGCACACCCTAATCAGTGGCTCCGGGCTGCCCTCCTGGAGAGATGAAGAACAATGCCCTCTTAATTCAAACTCTACATTCTAAGCAACTTTAAGTTTTGATCTTATCTGTACCTTCAATAACAATGTATTTTGAGGTCCACTGTTTCTTAAAAGTTGTAAGCAGACTTTTTCTTCTGATGCTAATAACATGTTCTTTAAAATCAAAGTCCTCTGTGTAGAAACGAAGAAGTCCCAACCAGAGCTGCCCAACAGATTCTGTATTATTTCCATATTCTGGCCAATAGGTGGGCTAGAAACAGAAGAAAACAAGGGATATCATGCCCTATAGTAAAGTGTTAATGTCAATATTCACTTGTATCTTATGAAGTAAATATGGGCTTATTTCTAATTAACTACAGTTTAAACACACAAAATATGTAATTACATAACTTTCCTTTTACATTTTAAAATACCACCTACCTGAGTTTATTAATCTTCACCCTATGACTTGGGATAGGGAGAGCTCAGGGTTTTTAATGTCAAACCTCAGAATGCATGCTAGTTGAAGAAGCTTGAAATGAACTTCAAGAGCCCTGGTGATAATTATAAGTCTTTCCAAGTTATGTACAGAAATTACAGAGCAAATATTCATTTATTTGGAAAAAACTACTAAAGTATTTGAAATTATTAGGCATTAAAGAACTTGGATATAGTCCCTAAAAACTCACCTGGCTTAAAAATGTTTTCAACTTCAAAGGAAACATCTGTATATGTTAGTTTTTTTTGTTTTGTTTTTACTATCATAATATAAATAAATATAGCCAATGATAATATAGTTGTTGACCATCTATCTATACTACAGCATAGGATAGCTAACTTTTAGTCAAGGATGTAAGAAAAAAATCTTTACTATTAAAATACGTACCAGTTCATCTATTTGATCAAAAAAATAAATATTCCAGCCATCAACAAATATTTCAGGTTTCTTTTCACCTTTGTATATCTGCAATTAATTTTTAAACTATTAGTATGGATTACAAACTTAATGCACTGATACAAAACTTTAGAAAAATTGTTAAAATTTTAACTACAGAACCAGAGAATTTTTCAAAAATATATTTTAATTGATTTCAGAGAGAAAGGGAGAGAAGAAGAGAGATAGATAGAAACATCAGTGATGACAGGGAATCATTGATTGGCTGCCTTTTGCACGCCCTCCCCTGTTCCGCCCCCTGCCTCTGCCCTGCACTGGGGATTGAGCCCATACCCTGAGCATGTGCCCTGACAGAGAATCAAACCATGACCTCCTGATTCATAGATTGATGCTCAAGCACTGAGCCATGTTGGCTGGGCCAGAACCACAGAATTTTTGAGAAGGAATAAGGCTCAAAATATCACCCAGCTTTACAGATAAGAAATAGAATTTACTTTATTAATACCTCTTGAAGGACAGGAATAACTGGTGGTTTCCTCTGCTGGAGAAAATATAGCACCATAAGTGTATATGCATATGATGATAAGCTGCCTCTGGATGCATCACCAATATCACACATCTGGAGGGAAGGAAAATGAAGATCACAAAGGAAAGATTACCAATGTTTTCTGCTTGCAGCTATTCCATTATCACTAAAAGTAGGTGCTTCTACAGGGCATTAATATAAAAATTACATTTTCAAATGCTAAAATACGTCAACGAAACCAAATAAGAAAAAAACCCACCCAAATAAAACAAAGAACCCAACAAAACAGTGGAACAATCAGTCACAGCAAGAGCAGATAATCATGTAAAATTTAAGACAAAATTTTAGCTTGCTGAGTAGGGCTTCCCAAATAGTTAAAAGAAGCTTTTGACATGGCTAGTCTTAAAAAAAAAGAAAAGAAAAAAGACATGTTTTCAACAAGGTCTGAAGATGCAATAAAATTTCCTGATAAGGTACAACTGAAAGCATACTCACCTTTGTAAAAACTTTCATGGTATAGCATAAATATTTCACTCTGGGATCAATGGCTGAATAAGCAAATAAAAGCCTTGTGTTATGAAGGGCCTGTTAAAAAGGAAATTATACTATAAGGCTATCATTTAGAAGAAAATGTTTTAAGCTAGAATATTCTGAAAAGATTTACACTGTAATTCATTTTAGAATAAACACACTTAGGCTAAAACTATTATTTCTTACCCCCAAATAAGCTTTAATAACTTAAGAGATAATAATTAAGAATTGTAAATGAGCCCTAACCGGTTTGGCTCAGTGGATAGAGCGTCGGCCTGCGGACTGAGGGTCCCAGGTTTGATTCCAGTCAAGGGCATGTACCTTGGTTGCGGACACATCCCCAGCAGGGGGCATGTAGGAGGCAGCTGTTCGATGTTTCTATCTCATCGATGTTTCTAACTCTCTATCCCTCTCCCTTCTTCTCTGTAAAATCAATAAAACATATTTAAAAAAAAAAGAATTGTAAATGACATTTGATTTCATGATTTCCATTATGTTAATACTAGAAGACCCGGTGTGCACTGGTGGGGTCCCTCAGACTGGCCTACGCCCTCTTACAACCCAGGGCCCCTCAGGGGATGTTGGACTGCCGGTTGCCCCCGGGTCAAAATCCCCCAAGGGATGTAGTAGTGCCTCAAGTGGCAAGTGGCTGGGGAGGAGCCTGAGCCTGGGCAGGGCGCTGCACTGCTCCCGCTCATCATGGCCAAGCTGCACCTGCCACTGCTTGGTAGCGCTGCCATGGAGATGGGAGATGGGAGAAGCTCGTGCTGCCGAAGCTGTGCTCGCCAGCCATGAGCCTGGTGTCTGGCACCCGGTGGTCAGCTGAGCCGTAGTTCTGCTGTGGGAGCGCACTGACTACCAGGGGGCAGGTCCTGTGTTGAGCATCTGCCCCCTTTTGGTCAGTGCGCATCATAACAACTGGTCAAACAGTCGACCAGTCGCTTAGGGTTTTATATATAGAGAGATAGATGTCCTTAGTGTTAACATTCCTAAAAAATAAGGGCTATTAAAATAATCAGTTTCCTGAATATAATGAACAACCTAAACTGATTAACAAAAATAGATCCAGAGATGTAGAAACATTGAACAGACCAGTCAAAGCTCAGAGGGAAGGTGTGTGTGTATGTGTGTGTGTGTATATGTGTGTGTGTGTGTGTGTAAGAGATCAACCAAAGGACGTCTATGCATGCATATAAGCATAACCAATGGACACAAACAGTAGGGGAGGGGGTGAGCTCATGTGCTAGGGAGTGGGAGCAGCAGGGCAGAGGTCAATGGGAGAAAAAAGGAGACATATGTAATACTTTCAACAATAAAGAATTTAAGTAAAATAAAAATAATCAGTTTCCTGTAAGTAGATGGATGATTCCCCCAACCTGCCCTGGCATTGCCCTTAGGGACCAGAGAGGTGCCATAAATCCCTGAAACAAACCAAGTGTGAAACAGATACTCTCTCTCTCTCTCTTTCTCTCTCTCTCTCTCTCTCTCCAAAATTAAAAAAGTTCAAGCCAAACAAAAGCGCCTGTCACTCTGACCTAATTTCAAATGAGTATTAATATTAATTTAATTCTCTGTTATACCCCAGCCTCACAACAACACTGCCAGGCACAGAGCAAGCACTAATAACTACCGAAAGAATGAATGCATTGGAATGAATGGCTTAAGAGACATTTGTTTCCCTTAATCTCCCTAGAGAAGCGGCTATATCTTACCAATGTGTTATACAAACTGATGTCTACTTCCAGACCGCTTCTCAAATGGTAGAACTTTACAATTGGCACCTTTGCTGTTGTAATAGGCAAGATGTTTCTCAGACCTAGGTTGAAACAAGAGAGTGTCATTAAATACAGCTGGGCACAGAAGCTCTTATGTGAGTACCAGAGGGCCAATGGCTCGGTGGCACTGCCACGGAGGTGGGAGAGGCACCCGCCGCCACCAGCCATGAGCCCGGCTTCTGGCTGAGCGATGCTCCCGCTGTGGGAGCACACTGACCACCAGGGGGCAGCTCCTGAGTTGAATGTATGCCCCCCTGGTGGTCAGTGCACGTCATAGCGACCGGTCATAACAGTTGCTTAGGCTTTTATTTATAGATGTCAATATGGATGTATACTTAACTTTATTGTTATTCCCACTTTATAGATGAGTAACTGAGTGCTAATAATGAGGTTGAGTGACTTTCTGAGATCACATAGCCAGAAAGTGGGGGAGCCAAGATTTAAAACCAAGAGAGTTTGATTCCAGACCCCCCCCCCACCAATTACTCTGCTATACTGCCTCTAACGTAGACAGCCTTTTCTCCACCTACTTCCCATTCCAGAACTTGACACTGTTAACCTTAATGACACTTATAGAAGCCCATCCTCTAGGACTTATTCACAGCACATCCTGGTTTTATTCCAATGGCTCCTTTTTCAGTGTCCTTCCTTAATTTCTACACAAAGAAATTAAAGTGCGGTCCTCAATTTCTCTCAAACAATAATTCCCTTGGCCTCTTTACTCTTCTCTTTCTTGGCTTCTCTACTTCTCTCTCTTTAAGGCTTTCAATGCAAAACTTCTATTTTGTTCTATAATTCTGATTGACAATTCCATATTTTTAGTTTCTTACTAGAGTGCTACCTCTTGGAGATTATACCTTCATGGCGAACTAAACACCTCCACACTGGTGTTCTCTGCAAATATTCCCATTTCCCAAGTACCCAGACATCAGCCCAAACCCTTACTTATTTCCTACTTGTAGGTACCAAATCTAAGAAATTTTCCTTTGGAATCTCTGATCTTCTTTTCCTTTTCAGACCACTTGGACCTGAATAAGGTCTTTCTGCTCTGTCCTGGGGTTATACCCTCCAGCAGAGACTATGCTAGTTCCCTAAAAACCTCAAGTTATGCTTTTATTGGGTTCCTCCTCTCCTGAAGAAACTTCAGTGGCTTCTTAATATCTACAGACTTTACCTTATCTCCTAATAGTTTCCACTTGAAACTCCTCTCTAAATGTGTCAATCTTCTCACTGTTCTCCAAAATATACTATACTCCATTCTAAGGAAAGACTTCTTTTCCTATTCTTTTCAAATCATATTCATCATCATTTGAGATCAGAACAAACCCATCTTTTCCACTAATCTCCCCTATGCAACCATTTCCCACTCTCTCCTCAGAAGTTATTTAATACTTATTAATATTAATAAGACACCAATTCTCCAAACATAATATACATAAGCCATGATGCTGTTTTATTGGCATTAAATTCTAACTATGCAAAATACTAATAAAAAGATGAAAATAGCCTTAACTGGTTTGGCTCAGTGGATAGAGCACAGATAGGCCTGTGGACTAAAGGGTCCCAGGTTTGATTCTGGTCAAGGGCACATACCCAGGTTGTAGGCTCGATCCCCAGTAGGGGGCGTGCAGGAGGCAGCCAATCAATGATTCTCTCTCATCACTGATGTTTCTAT